TCAGTTGTCTGAATCAAAATCTGTCTTTTTCTTCAACATAATGTAATTGATTTTTCAACAGCCTGAAGACTATCTGCAGCAGTGCTGAACCAGGATGTAAAGCTGTAATTTAAACATGCTTTATGTGAGCTGATCAATTATAGGAAAAGCTTGAGAACTAACCGGTCAAATGAAGGTGTAATACTGATTCACTTTACTATTAAGGCTACTAAAACATGGAAAGAAAGGATGCTACAAAGCAGGTTGTAGACACTTTGTGTAGACACAAATATTGAAGGACCTAATCCTCATAATATAATATAATATAATATAATATAATATAATATAATATAATATAATATAATATAATATAATATAATATAATATAATATAATATAATATAATATAACTTTCTGTTCTGCCCTTATGGAAAGTAGTCCTCATTGCAGCCATTTGCTAAAATAAAATAAAAAGTTCATTTTATTTCACACTAATGTACATTCAGCACCCCATCTTGATTGGAAAAAAAAAAACTGAAATGTAGAATTGTATTAAAAAACAAAAAGTGAACTATCACCTGGTCAAAAGTATTCAGACCCTCACATGCTGTCCATTTCTGCTGACCCTCTCTGAGATGGTTGGACCCTTCGCTGGAGTCCAGCCGTGTTTATTTAATCTGACTGGACCTGATTGGGAGCCAGAGCGTTCATCTATCAGAGTCCTCTCCTGTGGAACCGGGTTCAAGTTTGGCTTTGGGAGGCAGACACCATCTCTACATTTAAGAGTAGGCTTAAGACTTTCCTTTTGGATAAAGCTTATAGTTAGGGCTGGCTTAAGGGAGTCCTGATCCACCCTTCATTATGCTGCTATAGGCCGAGACTGCCGGGGGATTTCCCATGATGCACCGAGCTACCCTCTCCTCTTCCCTCTCTCCCTCTGAGTGCAGCTGTTGAGTTTGGATATGCCCCCCCCCCCCCCCCCCCCTCTCTGGTTCTGCTACAGGTTTCTGCCTAAAGGCAGTTTTTCCTTCCCTGTGTCTCCTAGTGCTTGTTCCTGGAAAGCTGGGAGATAAGTGTTGTTGGGGTTTGGCGCTATAGAAATAAAATTGAACTGAATTGAATTAGGAAAGGCACACATCTGTATATATACATATCATATACATATTATATACTTACATATTATATACATATTATATACTATATATATAGTATCCAGTATACTGTATATACTGGATTTCAACCACTAAAAGTTTGGGCTTTTTTCATCCTTTTAAAGGAATTGTGTGTCATACTCTGGGGTGAGTCCTGGACTTGCTCTGCCTATTTGGATTTGGGTATTCATTTTGTTCCGTACACAGCAAGTTGATACCCAGAGCCAGTCAGCACCATGGTGAGATCAGCCAACTCATAATCTGCATGTGCACATGGATGAGTGATGTCTGGAAAAACCTTGACAGTCCAGATGTGAGGGAACCTGATGCATTATCGGGTAAATGGGTTGTGCTTTTCGAGGGCTTTCCCGTTCTTGTAGACCCCTCAGAGTGCCACTACAGTCCATGTTCACACAGGAGGTCATTCAGCATGCTGAGGTCTGTAAGGTCGGCAGTATGCAGGGCTTTGTTTGATCATACACACACCCAGCCAGTGGTAAATGCATCAGAGAAAACACAAAAACCCTTCACCACTTAGACTGGACATACAGGGAAATAAACAGATGTTCCTGTAAGAAGAGGAGGAAGAGGAGCACTCCTCACTTTTCACTGGACCTGCCTGGTTAAAACGTTTTCAACCAATATTGACGGACATTAAGAAAAGTCCACTCTGATCAGAGCTTTCAGAGGTGAGGAGTGAAGATAGGCCTCTGCTGATCTGCTCTGCACTGACAATGCCCCCCCTCTAAGTCCAAAATCAATGTCTAATTGAACACTCCCGACAACAATCCATACCCTCAAATCCCGAATGACAACCAAATTACATCAGTATTCCATGTACATTTGTTTAGATATATATTTAATTCAGATGGATTCGCCTGTGTTATTGCAGTCAAATACAGCAGAGAGATGGATTCCTCATAATCCGGTTTTACCTGACCTTTTTTTGGTAAACTGCGTTCACATGACTGGATTATCTGAGAGGATAGTATGTGATCATCTGAGAGGAAAATAACTACTAGTACATATCAGACAATGCTGCTGTGAGTCTCACAGAATTAAATCCATTCTCATTCTCTTCTCCATTGGTGCCCCACATAGTTGGCATCCTCACCGGAGAGCCTGTGTAGGCCTTGAAGGTCCACCCAACTATGCACCTCGGTATCAGACTTTAGACTCAGCTTTATTTAATTGCTCTTTTAGGTAATTCTGATTTCAGTATAGCCCGTCCCAGATCATACAAAAACAGACACACAGACACACAGGTCTGGGAAGACTGTGGGTCAGCCTCTCTAGAAGCACCCCCTTTTTCTTTTTCTGAAAAAAGATAGCTACATCAGGAAAGGGGTGGCGGGAAGAGGTGGGGGGGAGGCCCAGTGTCACGCCCCCTACAGGGGACGTAACAATGATTTAAAGAAAAACTCAGAGGGAAGATTTTTGCTGTTTTCCTCGCTATGCCTAACCATTCTGTGGGTGTCAAGTTATAAGCACACGATCAGCTCTCAGCGGAGTGGGGGTGGTGGGGGTGGTGGGGGTGGCTTACCTCGTTTTTGCATGAAACTGAAAAGGTCATCAAGAAACTCTTTGCGCTTTTCATCATCGTCCAGTTCATACAACTGTAAAACAAGGAAAGAAATGACAGGTAAATACTGGTTCAGTAAAAGCAAAACTCATTATCTCCAGAACTCATTACAGCATAGATTTAGAAAAAGGGGTTTTACTGTAGAAAAGGGGGGAGGGATATGTCTACTCTCACTGAGAAAATGCTGAGGACCAGGGCTGGAAAACACTGGAAAACTGGAAGTCACATTTGGAACATCTTTAAGGAGGACAAACTGCTCCAGCAGCTCATACTGACAGAATCTGAGACGGTAAAGGCTTAAAGGGATTTTACTGTTTGGTTGTTTAAATCCCACAAACAAAGAAAAGTAACCCACTGTGGAGCAGATGTAAATGGGAACGTATTGAAATTGTAATTATTCCTGTTAAATGTGGAGAAATACCAGCTACATTATTGTCGTGATTTTAACTTTTTAACGCTGCACCAAAATGTCTCCTTTCAGCTTTGACACTAACTGTCAAAGCTGCTTCATTTGCTGATCGTACCACAAAGAAAAATGCTAGCAGTGATATCCTAAAGGTGGGATCCATTCTGCCTTGCGCGCAGCACTCAGTGTGTTTTGGTAGCATGGGTTTTCTTATTGGCGTCTCCATTATGCTGCTCGTCCCGCTCTATTCACAGGGGCAGAGACGGAGTCGAAGAGGCTTTTAAATGGGCTTCTGCAGCCAGAGAGACATGATGGAAATGTGTCAGTGACAATGTTCACTTTCAGTAAGGCCAAGAGTTACATTAACAAGTCCACTCAATCAATTCTAAAAGACAGAGAGATGACCTTTTGAATCAGTGGGGCCCTGTGGACGAGCCCTCCGAGATAATAACTGATCATTTAGAAGTATATCAGCCGCCTCTACTATTAAAGGGTCAGCCCGGGGAGTTGTGTGGCCTGAGAGTGGCGCTCTGCGTGCACCCTGCAGAGGATGGAAGGTTCAGATGTAAACACACCGCAAAAACTCTGAAGTGCACAAACGTGCAGCTATTGACAGGCCGTTGAGATTTACTGTCAGAGTCGTGGAATTTCAAGGTATGCAGGTTTGTATATCTTGTATGGTCTACACATGGCAGTAGATCATGCACACAAAACCAAAACACGTTAAAGAAACTGTTATTTTTCCATTTCAGTTGACGCAACTCATTGGTCACCAATGATGAGGAAGTTGCTATCATCAGACAGACAATGTGCGGCCCACTTTATGGAGGAAAAACGCCATTAAACTAAACTGGAATGCCTTCAAATACAATAAATGTGCTGCCTGCCACAGGATAGCGTCACAAGATGGTTTTAAATGTAGCTTCTTAAAACTCAGAAGACTCAAAGGTCTAAGAGGCGTTAATGTTCAGATCGCTCTGTTGTCTCGTTACAATTAAACTAGAAAAGAAGCAGGAAAAACAAAGAACCTTCGGTTAGCAAGATAGTTCTGGCTTTTCTTAGCTCTTTGTTTCTGTTTCCTGAGGCTTTAAAAAGCCTTCCCATCCTGGACCACAAGAAAAAACACCATAAGACACTTTGTGTCAGCTTTACAAATGATTACTACTGCAACAACCTAAAAGGTTTGATGTAGGATGATGAATTTGATTGGTTGAACCAAATTCAATTCACGCCACCGCTTTGCTGTTAGACGGCTTCTGTCCAAGATATCTTCTATAGTAAAGTTTACCTGGAGCTGAGGTCCTGTTCTGTTTTTTTATATGTAAATAAATATGACGTCAGTAGCTACACTTTTCAAAAGTTTGCTATCTTATTTTGTCAATTTTAGTTCCAATTTCGGGTTGATTTAGCATTTTAATCTATACTACAGCAACAAGGCTTGCCCTGGGGATTCAAAAAGGGCTGAACTGAATCTGATCAATTGTAGAACTGGTCTAAAGGAGGACTTTCACTCACTCATGAAATATTATCAAATACTATCACAATTGTGTGCCAAAGTGATTCCCAAAATCTGGATATTCCAATTGTTACTTCGAACAAGTGTAATGCTTTATTATTGGGCTGACCCAAAATGGATAAAAAAAAGGCTTGTTCCCCTCATCTTCAGACACATCTGTGGGAACCAAACACTGCACTGTTGGATTCGGGCCATTTTTCTTGTGCCATTTCGTGCACCTTGTTATTTAAAGTTACACGACCTCTTGTGTTTCCTGGATTCCTTATTTATGTATCTGTTCATTTTAAATTTAAAAATACCTGCCCTAATGCTCTGTATATGGCACCCCCCTTTTGTGTCGTAGTAGAAGGGATCCTGTGTTAACTCATGTTAGACAGCAGCTCTCTTCCCGTTTCCCCGTCATTTCCTTCCCTTTCTAATGAAATGTGACCTGGTCTCAGCAGGCTGCTGGGACCTCCTGGTCTGGCTCTGCTGCACGCTAGAGACCAGGAAGCCCTCTCTGATTAATTCTGTCCATTCAAACATTTACTCCCAGCTTTTGATGACAAAGACAGATAAACTTCTGCTGCTCCAATGCTTTGGATCAGTTTGGTGAAGCTACAGCATCCCCGTCAGCAGCGCAGAGCAGCCAAATGGAAAAACACAACAAATCAAGACCAAAATAAATCAGACTGTGCCTCCCGGGAGCCAATGAGAGGGGAGGACTTCAGAAATGGAAGGAATGATACAGAGCAAACGCACGAAGATTTGTGGTGCTTTTACCTTCCACACTACCTGTGCTACATTAAGCATTCTTCATCAGGTATTTGTCTTCCGGTGTCCTTGTAACTATTGAGTAATTTCCTCAAGTAATAAGGTTATCTGGTTTTAATGCCTGTAAATACATCTATGTATGAAGAGTGAGAGAAAGAGATAGATGGGAATAATTCCTCACTGTGGCGACCTGCCTGGTGAGGGCTTTACCTCTAGGCAGGTTTTTAGGGCAAGGAAGAGTGGGGGGGGGTTAGGATTTTACGATAAACAACAACACAAATCAGGAAATAAAAAGCCAAATATGCAACAATCGTATATCTTTCCCTCTGTCAGCACCATCACCACAGGTCTATTGAGTACTGGACACATCCCCAAGATATGCCGGGCAGAACTGGATCAATCCCAAATCTCATCCACAACATGGTGGAGATGGAACACGTGTCAAAAGGTCAAAAGCCAGACCCGGTAGCGCTTTTTTAACCACGAGTTTAATGGTAGCAACAGGTTTCTGAAAAGGTTTTTGCTTAGAAATCCATGAGAAGCCAAGGCTTGCAGAAGATTTTAAGGCAGCCACATGAGCATGTGATGCTCACACTGCCCCTCCCAGCCAAAACCTGACCTCCGTCCACCCGGCTGTCCCTTCCTCCCTGCCTCTGGCTGGAGTTTATGACCCCGATACCGCCTGTTTGCACTGGTTCTGATCTTCATACAGACCCTATAAAGGTTGTCCCTATACCCTTAATTCCATTTGTCGCATTTTCTCTAAAACTTTCCAACAAATAGAGGTTGAAGAACATGTGAAAAACATTTTTTTTTCCCTAAACAGGTTCAGAAGAGGACTTGAACGACACACACCACTACTGAGAAAAATTGTTAAAAGAAATACAACGACATGGCTCAGATCTGTTCCAGCATCAGCGGCTCAGGTTGAACTTACCGGGGTAAATAAGCAGGATTAACACTCGATCTTAATGGTTCTTTGAGATTCAAACTCGAACTGAGAGAGGACAAACGAGCTAAACTAAGTCTACGGCAGGAGGAGAGGCAGGTGAAGCCAGGGGAAGAAGCCTCCAGTCAACTGGCAGCCTTTATCATAAGAGATTGTACACGCGTTTAGATCCGTCTTTTATCAGGTCCTGCCATTTTAGAGGTAATCTGTGACAACACATGGATAAGGCAAAGCCCAAAGACAACACAGCCCTTCCAGAGTGTTTGCCATGTGCTTAAAGGAATGATATATTCAAAGGAATATGCCAAGAGGCACCCACGAGCAGAACAGAAGTTACAGCCAATATACCGTCTACTTTAACCAAAGTCCAGGATGGCAGTTCAAAGGAAGAGAAAGGTGAGGGAAGTGATAAAAAAGTTGAGGGTATTATTGGACTCAGGGCCAAACTAATGGATGCAGCACCTCTGTAAAAGGCCTAACCTGGAGGAGGACAGGATAGAGAAGATGACCTCTGTAAAAGGTAATGGTTTAACCTGGAGGAGGACAGGATGGAGAAGATGACCTGTGGGTTCTCTCTGGGTTCTAGTCCGGGCGGAACCAGGACCTTTCTGGGTGGAGTCTGCATGTTCTCCTGTGTCTGTGGGTTCTCTCCGGGTTCTCCGGCTTCCTCCCCCCGTCCAAAAACCTGCATGTTAGGTTGGTTGGACACTCCAACCTGCCCTTAGTGTGAGTGGTTGTTGGTCGTTGTGTGTCTGTGTGTGTCCCTGTGATGGACTGGTTGGACTTAAACATAAGTAAAACTGGTGAGACACCAGTTTAATGGGAAGGGCTCAACCATACCTGGAACATGTGTGAACATTTACTTCATATCTTGTCCCTTTTTTTCCCCAAAGATGTGTTTACTGTCTCCAAACCTGGTTCCATTTCCAACATTCACCGTGTTCACAGGAAGGTTTTTGGAAAAACTGAACGTGTCTTACAGACAGGCTGATGTCTTTGAGGGACACGGACTCCTTTAAAGCATCCTGAACATATAACTGCCATGACTACTGAGCTCATGCTGGCTGCACAAAGCATGGCCTCAGTAAAGAAATAAATCAATCAATAAATCGGGTCTTAGTTCATTTTCTACTATCAGTTGCAGAACATGTCATTTAGGAATAACACATCAGTTGTATAGATATGTGGAGTATGTTTTTAAAATAAATTTAGTGACAATTGATTTGAAATCTTATTTTCAGTTCAATAATGATTTATTTTTTAAACATTTTGTCACAAATAGCACTTTGATCGTGATTGATAATCGGAAATTGTATTTTGATTTATGATAATGTCTGTGTGTGTGTGTGTGTGTGTGTGTGTGTGTGTGTAAGTGTGTGTATATATATTTGTATATACATATTTGTGCATGTGTGTATGTATATGTGAATGTGTGTGTAAATATATATATATGTTTACTTAGTTTTACTGTGATAACATGTATTGTATAATTTATTTTTAATTTATATTGTGGAATTTTCTAATAAAAGAGCACAGCATTATCTCAGCTTCTTTCACTCATCCCTTTCAGCATTTGCATCTCTAAACGTTGGGGTGGGTTTAATGTACAGCTCTACAGCAGTCATTACTGTCCAGCAGACATCCAGATGATGCTGTAAATGATCCCTCGGCTGCTCTGACTGCTGCTGGCTGCAGGCCGGCCTGGCTGGGATGCATGCTGGATACCCGCCATGACTAACACACGATTGTGTGACAGTTTGAACTCCAGAATTACAGTTTAGTGTCTGATGAATGACTTCAATTCCCATAGTTAAATGAAATGTTTCTGCATTAAGCAGACACTTTGGATCTAAAGTGACTCACAGATCCATTACAGTCAGCATCAACCTGACACAAGAGCAATGGAACCCAGCAGAATCTGTTGTGACAGTGGGAGTGGAGCTGGTTGTGGGTTCTGCTTAAATCCTCAACAGGTTGCCTAACTTCTGACAGTGGGATATACACATTACCGTGCGCATTCCAGTTAATTCCTTAAAATACACCCAAACAGACACCGCGCACAGCAGCACGAGGCTGCTGCTGACCAGAAGGAATCCACAGAAGGTGCTCTCAGCCTCACCTGCTTGAACTGCTCCTCATAGGTCCACTCGTGGTGGGACTGGGCTTGCGCGGAGGGGGACTGTGCGCGTAAAGCCGGGCCGTGCGCCGGGACTCCGGCCCCGCTCTCCGGGGACAGGCGCGCCGCGGGCTGCCGGTGCTGGAAGCAGCTCAGCCCGACGTCGCCACCGTCCTCCTCGTACGCCATCACCTGCTCCGTGCCGCCGTCCTCCTCCTCCTCCTCCTCCTCCTCTTCCTCCTCCTCGCCCCCGGGGTGGGGCAGCGGCAGCCTGCTGAAGGAGCCGCCGACCCCCGCGCTCAGCGCGCTGCGCACGGCCGCCTGGTAGTGGCGGAACGCCAGCGCCTGCTGCTGGATCTGGGACTCCACCATGGAGCGGAGGTCCTTCTCCTTCTCGGCCTGCCGGAGCTTGTCCTCCAGGGCCAGGCGCGCCGCCTGCTGCCGCTGCAGGTTCTCCATCACCGCCTCCAGCTTCAGGCCCGCGCCGCGGCCCGGGCTGGGACAGGAGCCGGAGGGGGGGCCGCGGGCGGCCGGCAGAGAGCCCTGCTGGGAAAACACAAGGGTGGGGGGGGGTGTGGTGTGGATTATCATTCGTGGAAGTTCAGAAGAAGGAAGAAAGTTGGACTTCGCCGAGAAAGCGATGTCCAACTTTCTTCCTTTGTATCCGGTCTAAAAAAAGAGGCTCAAACAGCTGGACATAACTGATAAGACACTGAATGGACACACTCGGAATAGAAGCCCGTGCAGCAGCGTGGCAGGGACGCGTGCACGGAGCGGACACTCACCAGAGCGGACGCGGGGGCTGCGTTATCCGCCATGCTCCTCCAGGGCTGTCCGGAGCTGTCCGCGGGTGTGTGCGCGCCTTCTGAGTGCCGCTGCGCGCTGCTGCCCCGGGCTGCTCCGGGCAACAAGTGGCTCAGAGGGGAGGATGACCTGTGGAGGCACAGAGCATCTGCGCCACACGTCAGTCCGCCGCGCTGAGCCACTCAGAGGCTGTGCGGGGGGGCGTCCAGCTCATCCCCTGACAAGCACCACTCCTCTTTGTTTCATTTCCCCACTCTGAGGACCCGTCCCACAATATCTACAGACCCGATGGTGTCCACAAAGACGGCTGAGCAGATCCCTGATCCAAACGCGTCTGTCTACTATTCCACAGCCCCCTAACGCCTGTTTCTGTACCCTTATGAAGTCAGCCAGACACTATTCTCATCACTTCGCCAGAATGAGGTGAAACAGAGGGACAAAGCCTAGTGGGAAACAGAAGAATCCGCCCACTTCAAACTGATCTGAACTCTTTCCGCTAAACCAACAGAAACACATCTGTGATCCCAACTGTCCAAAATGTCAAATTTGTCATTGAACTATGCACTGTTATCATGTTTACTCCCCCTGCACAGCACTGGAAAGCATTTCTATGAACTGTTCACAGAGAGGGTACAACAATGGTTGACCACTGGAAACCTGCGTCTAAATGTTCAGATGGTGTCAGCCGTCGATTTGCAGAGGCAGAATCCAAAATGCATTTTTCAGCCCTAGATTTCTAAAATGTAGACTTCTAAGATCTCTTCGGTTTTGCACCACCATCCATACATTACCTGGGTCACGAGGGGGGAAGCCTGTCCCAAGTTACTTCTTGTCCATCACAGGGCCAGCCAGTCACTCTGACATTTTCCCTGAAAGAACCCACACATCCACGGCATTATGAAGCCAGCCTACACGGAAAGAACCAGAACAGATACTGTTCTTAACCACTGTGAAGCCCTCCATTCATTTCAGAAAGACACACAGTGCATAGTGAGCAGAGGAACTGAGGCTAAAGGATGAAAATATCTGCCCTCTTAATGTTGTTTTTCTTTTTATAAGTGACAAAAAAAGATATCAGAATGTGTTTTTCTGTTAGTTTGTAACTTGGGAGATAGACAGAGAGGCTCTTTAGTGGTTCTTTGACTAGCAGATGTTTTTCCCCCCATTTTTCCTGATCTAAACATGACAAAATTGGTTTAATTCATTAATTTCCTTAATGTGAAAACCCGGGAATCCCTGGATGTAAAGGTGAGATACTGATTCCATAAGTGATTGTTTGAGAACTTACATTCTCGGACAGTGTGGACGGTAGGACAGCTCCATCTAATGTCCACTCGGAGCTCCTGATGATAGAAACAGCTGAATTAGAATGCTCTGACTTTGCAGACCCACAGTAAAAGCTTGTGTGAATGTGTCGTGTTCAATCACACGTGTGGTAAGCAGTATATCTGTAGTCCACTTTCTGCTTTTCTGCATGCTGACCTGTACTTGTAGATGATGCTCCAAGCCCGTCTGTGTTTTCATTGTTTTCCTAAAAGTTTGAAGCTATTGATAATTCGAGGAGTGGCAGCTCCAGCCTCCTATTAGGGATTATCTACCAATCCTATAATACTTGAGCCATGGACGGCTTGACCCATCCATCCTGTCAATAATAAACCTCCGGGGAGCGCTGACCAATTCACCGGCTGCAATCAATTGCTTCACAACTGTGACACTCCGACTATTTTCGCTAATGATGACAAGTTAATTAGTTGTTTGTCACTGCGAGGGGCTGACTCTCTCCAATGATTTATCTAACCTTTAACAAGGAGAAGGATAATGACTGAGATGTGGTTATTGTCTGAGATCATCCGTTCAAATCTAAGGCGTTGTTGTTGCCGGAGCCCATCCCAGCTGCCATTGGCTGAGAGGCAGGATGCACCACGGCCACAAAGAAGCTTAAACCACATAGAATTATATTCTGTACTCTGCACTCTTATCAAGGGTTTGGCGTAGTCCTTTGTTCTCAAAGTCAGAAATATTATTAAGATGTGCTGATAGTAAGTCATCTCATGGACCACAGTGACTGTACTGTTGCTGGTTTGATAATAAAAAAAAAACAGGAAATCTGCTTTTAAAAGGAACTGGAAGACCCCTTTCACTATTACTTACAAGGTAGTCTTCGAATGGACGAGCTACCTGTATCTGGAATTGTTGTATTGTGTATTTGATCAAAACAAAAGTACCTCCGGAGCTTTAGCCGCACATGTACTGCGTATACACAGGTACTTTTGAGGCTTTGCATGTAGTCTTATTTAGGCCTACACAATAAATACACAAAGGTCTATATTCTGTGTTATATTACTTTATAAGTAAAGTGCATGTTTAAGATAACTTTAATTTACAAGTAATTTGTATGATGGGGGAGATGTAACCAAGGCAAATGTCATTTAAAAAAAAGAAAAAATGTTTGTGTTGCTGGTACAAGTTTTTTTCGTACCAGCCACTGTGGCAGGTGGGAATTGTTTTACTTCTGGTTGCATTGGGACACAGATTCTGGCAGCCAGCATCCGTCAGTATGTCAGAATTTGGGGGCCCTCCGCTTACAGCTTCTATGGCATTATATCGGCAGCTCTTTGTCTTTATAGACACTTTGGCTCATTCACAATAACTACACACAGTTTTTAGGGAGACCATTACAGGGAGACCATTACAGTAGATGGATCAGCTAAAGGGGGTAGGTTCTCTTCCATGAGACATCAGTTTCAGATCATTTTAAGCTGCTCTACAGTCTTTTAGACTAAACTCCCCCAGCTTGGGGGTAACTTTTTTCTGTTGACAACAGGAACCATCTTCTCCCTCCACATCCTCACTAGCTCCTTGCTAGCTTCTCCAGCTTCTTGTGTTCCTTCTTCCTGGAGTTTCCATCACTCGGTGTAGCTTCATCTATCGCTAGGGCCCTCTTCCTCCACCTGCCCAGTGCTGTGTCCAGTTGGTCAGCCAACACCAGCTTTTCTGTCTGTATCTGGAGGTCTCAAAGGATCTTAGCATGGTCTTTCTCAACTAACCTACAGAGCATGTCCCATTCCAAACGTTCCTGTATACTATGCTGGCCATTTGACTCTGAAGTTATTTACAAAAGCCCAACAATTCTTAGTTTGGATTGGTTGGCATGATATTTCAATCCACTCTGAAAATGTTAATCTGCATCCAAATTATTTTTCTGCATGTAAAGATATAACTGTGGGTTCCAAACTGTCAATAGTAGAATAGTTTTAAAGGTATATAGTTAAAATGTGTATCCTTAAAAAAAATAAAAAGCTGTTTGGTAATGAAAGAGATTTTTTTTTTAGAGTCGCTAAGCAGTTTCATGTTATGATTATCATTTGTATTTTAAAATGACATTTCTTTTTATTCTTAGAAAAAGCGAAGACTTTGCCGAGTATTTGTGTCCGTCGGGCTGCCGTACTTTTCCTCTCCGGAAGAAGTTATTTGACCGGGTGACGTCACTAGATGCCACAAGATGGCGGAGTCGGAGGAGGAGGTTGATGTCTTGGTCCAAAGAGTTGTCAAAGACATCAACAACGCATTGAAGAGGAACCCCAACATGTAAGCGCCCTTAACCGAGGCCCCGGAGCCCGGAGCTCCTGAGTCCCGGAGACACCGGGCCCGGCGGCGGCCTCCGCCGGGGGCTGGACGCGGGCTCGGGCTACTACCTGGAATCACGGCGGTTCATAGAGAGGTGGCCGCGTAAACGGCTCGGATAGCTGTTTAAACTGCGGGGAGATGCTTTCGGGGTGAGCTCCAGCT